GGGAAGCGGCTTCTCCTTTCGGTTTCTTTTCCGGCAGGCAGGGCTGGAACAAAGCGCGGGGCGCTGGGCCGTTTATCTGGGCGATCTGCCTGCAAAATAACTGCTGAAATCCACGCAGGGCAAGCAGGGCTTCCTTTAGAAAGGGTGCGCTTAAAAACCTCTCGCTAAAGCTTTTCCTTGCCCTTGATATCCAGGGCGGGGGTTGCATAAGAAGTGGGTTTTTTCATTGGGGATCGGGGCTTTTTTGGAAGCTTTTTTTCTTGCTCAGCGACTGTATAGCATTTCTATTTTAATAAGTCAGTCTTTAAGAGAACGTGCAGATTTTTCTAGCTCTGTGTTACTTGCTTAGATGCCTAAGCAGGCAAATTTTATTTGATTTCCAAGCAGGTGCGCTCAGCAACGGCCTTGATTTTTAAATTTCTAAGCAGAGAATGAAGAATTAAAACCCCCCCAAACTGTTTTAGTGATCCACACTGGAATATAGTATGGAGTCAGTGACCTCTTTTGGTAAGCACATTGCAGTACTTCTCATTCCAGTCTGCCCAGCCCTTGTAACCAGAATCCCTGGGATGGCTTTGCTTGCCGTGAGTTGAATACGGGGTTGGCAGAGCAGGAGGGCTGGCCAAGGCAGGGGGAATCCAAGGATATCTTGGCTCTAGGTAGCCCAGCTTTTCCCTGGCTGACAGCTCAGCTTGGAGACCAGCCAGGGAGCTTTGGAAGCTGCCAATTGCCACTGATTTTGCCCTTGCAGGGGGAAAAAATTGAGGGCTGACCGAGGAGAGTGGTGGGGATCCCCCAGCAGAAAGACAAACCCCTCTAGCTGAGGAGAAAGATTGGGGGAAGAGATCCCTGAATTTAGAAGTAATTTTTCAGTGTTGTAGGAAGAGATTTTTTCCTCTCTGCAGCATGCTACCTGAAATGAAAGGTTTGGCTGCTGCAGCAGCCAGCCTTTTCCCCTAATAGCTGTGTGCCACATCCAGCATTTTCAGTCTTCCAGAGGTATTAATAACTCAGGATATCATCTGCTAGGTGCAGGCTCCAGTGCTTAGCCTCATTTTATTCAAACACAAGTTGCTGATTACTCCTCAGTGTGGCAATTTGGTGCCTTCCCTTTAAACTTGCTCTTGAGGGGAAGAACTCCGTGTTAAAATCAGTGAGCTGTCTTTGTCTCCATGACTTGGCATTCTTGGGTCAGCAACAGTCACAAAATGTCGGTCTTGGCGTCACCTTGGCACTGAAATGGAGCTGTGTTTTACTTCACTGGGATATAGTGTGGCTGAAAAGGAGGGCAGATTTCTTGGGGGGAGAGTGAAATCGGGACCTTTTTGCATGTGATGGAGAAGTAAGGCCTCAAATTGCTGCCAACATTTCTTAACTCTGCTTCCTGAAAGTAAAAGTGAAACCATTGTTTAGTCCCGCACGGTTTGATACGTTGGGCTCGTGCTGTTCCTGAGGCATTTCACGATAACTTTGTGGTAAGCTGTGTGCCCAGGAGGTAGTTTTTCTGAAATTGTGCTTAAGTATCAGGCAGGTGTTTTCTCAGCTTTTAATTTTTCCTTTCTGTGCCTCCCTGTGCTTGTTTTACGTGTAGTGTTGAGGGGCAAAATGGTTCACGCCGAAGCGTTTTCGCGTCCCCTGAGCCGGAACGAAGTGGTCGGATTAATTTTTCGTTTGACCATATTTGGTGCTGTAACATATTTTACCATAAAGTGGATGGTTGATGCCATCGATCCCACCCGAAAGCAGAAGGTCGAAGCTCAGAAGCAGGTAAGATTTTTATTAATCAACGTTTCTGTGAAAGGTCTCATTTGTTACCTGCTTGTGCAGAGAAATCCACTAACTGGAAACTGGACTTGAAGTAACCCATGAAGCAATTAAAAAAGCACATGGAATCATCAAAAAAGCCTAGAATTAGTAAATTAGTTAGTAAATCTCAGCATCGAGGCTGTTATGTTTTATAGCAAGTGAAAATGTCTAGCTTGAAGTGGTGGGAAACCTGTTGAACTATCTCTAATCACCTGCTAGCGTGTGGCCTGCTGCTGACAGCTTTCCTAAGCAGCAGTTGGGTTAAATCATGCTCTTGGTTGCTTTTTAAAACCTTGAGCAGAAAGAACTGAGTTCTCTGCTGCTTTTTGCCCACTTAATGCCAGAGACAGAGACTGAAGTTGCTCGTTACAAAAGGAACACTGCTCTCCAAATGCCTTTTTAAGAATAGCTGGCACTTTGTCCCTCTGCCTCTCTTCTCCTCCCACCTCCAGGAGCAGTCAAAATGCCCTGGAAATGGGAGAAAAAATAAATTGAAAAGCCTCATTCCTTGGACTAGGGTGGTTCATGGGAGTTAATGTTCTGAGAAAAGATTTAGGTGCATTTCAAAACTGAAAGTTAAATATTCCCTTTGGAAAGTATTGAAGGAAATGTTGCAACTCTTTTTTTTTTTTTTTTTGTTACTTCTCTGGCTGACACAAGTGTCACAGATTCAGACACCAGTTTTGAGCAACCTCATTCTGATTTGGGTGTTTTTTTTCTTTTTCGATGAAATATTTAGTTTAAAAAAATTGGCCCTGTTCTCACAATCTGTGCTAGTGCCAGCTATTAGATAAGAGCTTGCAGTGTCCCAAAAGCATGTCAGACCTAACTGCAACTTGGAGTGGAAAGAGAAACTGAATTATGAGGGCACACTGGGACAGTAAATTATTTTTCCTTTTAAATTGGGAATGACATGGAATACATAGAAAAAAAAGTGCCTGGCTTCTGTCAATAATATTCTCTATTTTTCTTAAAAATTATCAGTCTGTCTTTGATTCAGTGATGTGGAGGTTTGAGGTTGGGACATGCCTTTTGGAATAACAAAATGGTATCCCTTATGGCAGTGTATCTGTTTATTATTTGCAGGGTTGTGAATGAAGATAATTGAGCATGTAAAAAAACCTCAAGAGTTCTATTTAATAGCAACTTTCAGGCTTTTCATCAGAAACCTGTCCCAAGTTTGTGAGGATTAATAGGCTTATTTTTAAGTGTAACCCCTGTAATCAGCTTTGGGAAGTCCAGCTTATAGAAATGGGTTTGTGTGGAGGTTTCTTGTGTGTCTGCAAACCTGCTCTGAACAGCAAGGGCCATATTTTAATACTGATTTCTCATGCTTTCCAGGTGATTCTGCGTGAATTGTGGATTTGGGATGGGAGGGCTGGTGTGACAGTTACTTGATGGGAATAAGTTGCGCTGAAGTGACAACGAATCATTGGGCATCAGCAGAACCTGCTACTGCAGATAGATTTGTGCTCTATTCGGAAAAGCTTTGCAGTGTCCAAAGAGCTGTTCTTTAAAGCTAATTTTAAAAATTAAGGATTGCATTTCTTTTCCTGATTTTCCTGGTGGTTTATTTCCCACAGGCTGAAAAACTGATGAAGCAAATTGGAGTAAAAAATGTCAAGCTTACTGAATATGAAATGAGTATTGCTGCACATCTCGTGGACCCGCTTAGCATGCATGTAAGAAGCTGCTTTCCCTGTTACTCTGATGAAAGCACTTGAGACAAGGAAGCTCTTGACGTTTGTCATATATATGTATCCGTGGGAACACATAGCAAATCTTTATCAAATTTAAAACTAAAAGTCCATTGTTGAGAGCTGAAAGTTTTTTATCACTTGTCTTTTTTATTTTTGAGGCCTTGCACTGCTTTTAAGCTTGTGGATGTTTTTTTCTGTTGGCAGGGACTGTGATGAACATTTCTAATGCTGTTTCTTCCATGTTAGGTCACCTGGAGTGATATTGCAGGCTTAGATGATGTCATTACAGATTTGAAAGACACTGTCATTCTGCCTATCAAGAAGAAATATTTGTTTGAGAATTCCAGACTCTTACAGCCACCAAAAGGTAGGAAGGAAATTTTACAGATTTATATCTTGGTATTAAAAAAGGAAATTTACAATTACCCAGAAAGAGGAGGTGAGTGGCCAGTCCAAAGTGCAGCCATTAGGATTGATACCAGGGAAAACCCTCAGGTTTTTCCTCTTTCCTTGCCATGAAACCAAGTTCTAGTGCATACATTTCACCTTCATAATGAAGTGATAATGGCTTTTCAGTTCCTGATGTTACATTTTGATGCACTGATCTATGTAGCCTGCATTTTTAACTGCCTAAATTGTTGATTTTTGCCTTCTTAGACCCCATCTTGTCCCCTTGGTTAATGTTTCTACAGTATCACAAAAACCTAAGTCATAAACATGAGAGGTCAGTGTAAGATAATCTTGCAAACATCTCTGTTCCAGTCCTAGAAATTCCAGTCATTCAAAGAGGCAGAGATCCCATTGTTATTCTGGAGATGCCTTGTTTTTCTCTGGAGCTGAATTGCACAGTACTGAAGCAGGAAGGCAACCTCCAGGTGACAAATTAAGTTTCCAACAGCAAAGCAGAAGTTGGACACTCTGCTGGAATGGTTGCAGCCATGTTTGCTGTATGTTACTGCAGACCAGCAGAATTCGAACCTAAATTTTTGGACAAAATACCAAAGTTTATCTTTACTGCTCTGAACCCTGGAATATTGTCTTCTGAAAATTCTCTGAAAACTATTAATTACTGCCTGCATCCATGACCATCTCAGTTCTGTGTCCTAAGTGATGGAAAATTAAACACTGCCTTGTTTTTTCCAGGCAACTCTCTGTTGAAGTCACACATTGAAACTGTCTGGAAAATTATTTTAATGCCATGGTCTAATAAGCTGAAGGAAAAAAATATGTTTTATTTCTATTTTTAAAGCAGACTTTCCATACAGGGCAGTTCTATTGGTAGCTTGTGCTGAGTGTTAATTGGAAATCATTGCTTCAGAGTAATTGTATTTGTGGTGTCAGTCACAGAAACAGAAAAAAACCCCCACAATAATTCTCTGTGTTTCAGGCTTCTTTGACTTCTTTTTCTTTAAATTGTTTTATTTACAGCTCAACAGATACCACTGTGAATTCTTTCACTATGACAAGTTTAAAAAGAATATGAAATGTCGTATTTCATGGTGGCTAATCTTTTAAAAATGATTGTGCGCTGCTTCTCCCCCCGCCCCATGCTACGTTTTACTACCAAGGCTGCAACTGGCTTCATACAAGGCCTGTCAGATGTTTACAGGAAATAAAGAGGGTTTTAATTTTATGTAACCTTTATAGTCACAGTCATAAAGCATTCATCTTTCAGACAAATGCCTCCCTTCATTTCACCACCCTTGTTTTAAGATCTCCTTAGTTTTAATTTTACAATAGAGATACCTTAACCAACTCTGTATTTGATTTGGTGGAACACTGTGTAACTTGACTTGTTATCTTCTAAAGGTTAGGTGAAATACAAGTCTGGACACTATCAGATCTGTCACACCAAAGCAAGTTTTGTGTCCAGGGAGCATTAACACTCTGATTTTTCCAGGAGTTCTTCTCTATGGCCCTCCTGGTTGTGGCAAAACTCTGATCGCCAAAGCGACGGCCAAGGAAGCAGGTTGTCGATTTATTAACCTCCAGCCTTCAACACTGACAGACAAGTGGTATGGAGAGTCTCAAAAACTGGCTGCTGCTGTCTTCTCCCTTGCTGTAAAGCTCCAACCATCCATCATTTTCATAGATGAAATAGGTAAAAAGCTGTCTTTTTTTTTTTTTTCCTCAGTAGCTGTAGCAGAGTGACGTTAAACTGCAGGTTTCCATCGATGGGTGTGTTGATCTGCTGTCACCTGCTTCTTCAAAACAGTGATAATGGAACAAGGTTTAGTAATAGAAATGTTATTTCAAAGTAATGGTGGCAAATTAGGAGAAACAGTGTATGTCTTCCTTGTGTCAGCAGGTGAAATTACAAGTAGAACAAGTTGCTGCTTGTTTTTGGTTGGGCTGAGGTGGTTCATCAGGGAAGCTGCTCTTCTGTCAGGGGATCTGCTTGTCCAGGAAACCCACCACCAAATACACTTCATTGCTTCTGCACATAGTGGAAAGTAAAATAGGGGTTTAGGAGAGCTCAGGAATAATAGTTGAATAAGGCTGAAGAAGTAGGAGGGGAAGGACAGCAAAGGTGACACGTGTTCAGCACATTTGGACTTGTCACATCAGCATTTAAGTCCCTGGGAACTTGAACAGTTCAGTTAAAATGGCTCATGGTCTCACTGGCACTTTTTGAAGTTGCAGAACCAAGCTTTTACCCTTCCCACGGGTCAGGATTATAAAGGGCCTATGTTGTTAGAATGGTTTTTTATCCTTTTGCAGAGGTGAGAAAAGCCTGGTGTTTTGCCAGCTGTTGGAAATTCTTCAGGCAACCAGTGGCACAGTTAGAGCTCCACAGAAGCTTGCTGTGCTTTGGTGTCCTCTGCCTTGCCAGATTTTGAATGCTTCCATCTCTGCATGAGAAATTAAGGTTAAATTTACACTTTCCATCAATTCAGGAAGGTGCAAATTTGGAGCCCAAGGTTTGGGACCACCTCATGAGATAGCTACATGCTCCTGTAAGGTAATTTACAAGATGCACTTAGGAATATGGTGACATTCCCCCTTCCTATTCTTCATCATGAGAAATGTTTTTCAGTTTGCTGACAGTGTGGATTCAAAAAAATTATTTATAAGATAGAGAACAGCATGGGTTGAAATCAAACAGCATCATCTTTAGAGCAGGATTGAAATTAAGTTGCTTTACTGGATCCTTTGATGCAGATTCCTTCTTGCGGTGTCGGTCCAGTTCTGACCACGAAGCCACAGCTATGATGAAAGCCCAGTTTATGAGTCTCTGGGATGGGCTGGACACAGATTTTAACTGCCAAGTGAGTACAAAGGATGACAAGAAAATAACGGGATTCTTCTCTCTGGGTTCTTGTGCTTTGAGCTGTCTGGGAGATAGCAGAATGAGTGTGGTAATGGCCAAAAGTGTTTTCTTTCCCTGTCAGTGGTGATGATTGCCAGTGTGTTATGGGAATGAGGTGAGTTATATTCAGAGGTAATTTTCATTCTGGAGAAGATTTGGTTTGCATTTGGTGTTTCGGTTTTAATTAAGAGGTGCTACTTTCACAAGTGTCTTAAATAATAATATGGCTGCATAGTTGGAGTTGCCCAAATTGGGAATTGTTAAAATGCTTTGAAAAACATTCTGTCAACAATACTTTCAGTATTGTTCAAAAGTGAATCTTTGCTTTCAGGAAAGGTATTGAAAGGTCTGAGGGTTCATCCCTGCTGCAGGCTGGTTGCTTTGCTTCCAGAAAAGGTTACGCTAGTGTCAGACAAGCACCAGACTCTGGAGTTAAGCCTAAAGAGCAGGGAAGTTAATGTTACCAAAACACAAAATCTATTAGAGCCCTGATTCCATCCTGTTATTCCACACACCCCACCCCAGATTAATAAAAAGCTGCTGGTGCTATAAAATAACCCAAACAACATTTATGAAACAAATTACTTGAATGTACTAAGCCTGCTTCGTAGGTTTCTGAACTGTCACCTGGAGCAATCTTTTTAAGTCCTTCAGAAAGGATGTTTATTCTCCAATTTAAAAATGTTCAGCCTTTTGAATCTGTATTTTTCTGTAAAGGGTTCCAGTGTTCTGCCCTCCATCAGTTTTTAATTTGTCAAGTCTGCTTTTCCTCCCCTCTCAAACTTGTGCTAAATATTTTTTTCAGTTGATTTATCATAGAAACCCAGGCTGGTTTGGTTTGGAAGGGACATTCAACATCAATCTGGTTCCAACCCCCCTGCATGGGCAGGGACACCTCCCACCAGCCCAGATTGCTCCAAGCCCCATCCAACCTGCCCTTCAGCACTGCTAGGGATGGGGCAGCCACAGCTTCTCTGGGCAACCTGGGCCAGGGTCTCAGCACCCTCACAGGGAAGAATTTCCTCCTGATGTCTCACCTAAATCTCCCCTCTTTCAGCTCAAAATCATTCCCCCTTGTCCTCTCACTCCCTGCTCTTGTCCCAAGTCCCTCCCCAGCTTCCCTGGAGCCCCTTCAGGCACTGGAAGGTGCTCTAAGGTCTCCCTGGAGCCTTCTCTTCTCCAGGCTGAACACCCCAACTCTCCCAGCCTGGCTCCAGAGCAGAGCTGCTCCAGCCCTCCCAGCATCTCCATGGCCTCCTCTGGACTCGCTCCAACAGCTCCCATGTGCTTCCTGTGTTGGGGACCCCAAAGCTGGACCCAGCCCTGCAGGGGGGTCTCAGCAGAGCAGAGGGGACAATCCCCTCCCTGGCCCTGCTGGTCACGTTGCTGGGGATGCATCCCAGGACATGGGTGGTTTCTGGGCTCCAGCACATGCTGCTGGGTCATGTTGAGCATCTCATCACCCAACACCCCCAAGTCCTTCTCCTCAGGGTTGCTCTCCACCCACTCTGACCAGCCTGGATTTATGCCTGGGGTTGCCCTGACCCATGCGAAGGACCTTGCACTTGGTCTTGTTGAACTTCATGCAGTTCCATGGGCCCATCTCTGCAGCCTGTAAAAAACTTTAAATCCAGATTAGGACCCAGTGAACATATAGACTGAGGAGCTTTGGAGCAGGGTGTCTGCTGACCATGGGTAATAGGCCAGTGGTATGAACACTTAACTGGAAGGTAATATGGTCTCGCAAGCATGTCTTCCAGTGTTTGAATGTAGTGTCCTTTTTCCCTGAAATGCTGACAGCTTCTTGGAGCAGGTTGAATTGCTCATTCCCTGCAGTGAGACAAAAGTGGTCTTACCCATCTCTGGAGATGCAGAGCCTTAACAAGCCACTCTTGTCCCTCACTCTGCCTCTGTGGAGTAGAGAGCCACCCAAGAGCAGATAAATGGCTGAGACACCACAGGGTTTGATTCAGGTTCCTGGGGAGTTTTTTGTTTGTCTGTTTCAATGCTGTATCTCAGGCTTTTTCCCAATGTATCACTGCAATTGAGGAAGTGTTCTTCTGGTGATGGCTTTGACATTTGCATTGTGTCCAGTTTTGACAGCCAGCTTGCTGAGCACTTTTGTGAATTTCAGAAGTTTACTTCGGAGCTTTGCTTGTCTGACTCTTGCCAGACAAATTTCCTTTGAATAAGAATGAACTTTGGCTTTTGTTATGGTCACAAAGATTCCAAGTGCGATGAGGAAACCATAAATGAGTGTTGAGAGGAATGTTATTTGTTGCTGTGCTGATTGCACCTGAAAGGCATGTTCAGCTTTGGGCCAACCCTGCTGAGGATGTAGTCTGGACTCCTGCAGAATCTTGGAGCAGAGTGCCTGGAAGACACAGCTGTGCTGCATGCAGTTCAGGTCTGGAAGTCTCATCCAACTGTGTTTGTGCCCTGGGAGGTCCCACCTTTGCAGAGTCACAGAATCATCACCGTTGGAAAAGACCTCTAAGATCACCAGGTCCAACTGTCAACCCAGAAAACCCCCCATGCCCTGAAGTGCCACATCCACACATTTCTTGAATCTCTCAAGGGATGGTGACTCCACCACCTCCCTGGGCAGCCCCTTCCAGTGTCCAACCACTCTTTGGGTAAAGAAATTCTCCCCAATATCCAGTCTGAACCTCCCCTGGTGCAGCTTCCGGCCAGTTCCTCTAGTCCTGTTATTATTCACTTGGGAGAAGAGGCCAAGCCCCACCTCCCTACAGCCTCCTTTGAGGCAGTTGTAGAGAGCAATGAGGTCTCCCCTCAGCCTCCTCCAAGCTCAACAACCCCAGTTCCCTCAGCCTCTCCTCACAGGACTTGGTCTCCAGCCCCTTCTCCAGCTTGGTTGCTGATGCAACATGCTGCAAGAACTCAACGTCCTTCTTGTCCCGAGCGGCCCAGAGCTGAGCACAGTACTCGAGGTGTGACCTCACCAGGGAACCCAGGCCTGAGCCCTGGTGGAAAACAATTAGCCAGCCTGTAAAGAAGCCTCTAGGTGGCAGGGTGACTCTGCTCGGGGACACACAACCTGGCCATGAGCTGCCAGGGCTGGCTGCGGACCAGTGACCCCACACAAAAGACCAGGAGCACCTCAGGAAATTCTATTGAGAGGAGATTTAATTTCCCTGACATATTTCACTTTGGTGACTGGGTTATTTGCAATGTACATAACTTAAAATAACAAATGAGAAAACAAGGCTGATGTGAATGGGAAGTAAATTTGTTCTTAAACTAATAAGTGGAAGGTGATTAAATGACGTAAATACTCTCCTTGTATTGAACTTGGCTTGCACTGCTCCTGCAGGATGCCATGTAGGTTCTTCTTGACTTCTACTGCTTGTTTTAATGCTTGACAAAAAGAAACAACATTGTAGTGCATGCAAAAACTGCCAGTTTGGTCTTTCTGGTCATCTGATTGCCTTATTTTCTTCCACCAAGCACAAAGATGCCATGTTTTTTAGTACCTGATCAAATTGTCTTCTTTTAAGTTCCTTCCAGACCAGCAGGAGCTAAAGAGACATCTCCAGGCCTTAGAAGCAGAAGAGTTGAATAACTGCTTGGAGTTAAAAGTTTCAAACTGGGCTCAGAAGGCCAGCAGACTGATGTAAAAATCTCCACCCAGATGGTTCTCTGTGGTAGCAGTGGTCTCTGAAGCTGCCTGCTTAAATCCAGTTGCTGAAACTGGAATGTAACTGAATGAAACTTGATGTAACTTCTTTCAACGTTGATGTTCTTGATAAAGTGTGGAAGAGTCACATGTTTGGTTTTGAAACTCCACCACGGTGGTGTTTTCCAAAGCTGGTTTCAGGCTGACTAGTTTTTCTCTCTGTTGGTGCACACAGGTGATAGTGATGGGAGCCACCAACCGTCCCCAGGACCTTGACTCTGCCATCATGAGAAGAATGCCCACCCGCTTTCACATCAACCAGCCTGTAAGTCAGGCCAGGCTCACCTGGCTTTCCCAGAATTACTGTGTTCTTTTGACCTGTTTTGGTGTGGTGGGTTATTTTTCCTTTTTTGTTGTTGTTTTTTCTGAAGCTCATGTTTAACTTTGCTTTTTAAGGTGAAGTTTCTCACAGAAATCTTGATTCCTTGGGTTTTTTATCTGAAACCACAGAAATGTTTTGGTTGGAAAAGACCTTTAAGGTCATCCAGTTCAAGCATTAACCCAGCCGTGCTGAGGTCACCTATCTCCATCAGCACCACATCTACAGGGCTTTTAAACACCTCAGGGACTCCACCACTGCCCTGGGCAGCCTGTGCCAGGGCCTGACAGCCCTTTCCATGGAGAACTTATTCCTGATATCCAACCTAATCCTCCCCTGGCACAACTTGAGGCCATTTTCTCTTGTTCTATCACTTGTTCCTTGGGAGAAGAGACTGAACCCCCCTGGCTCCAACTGCCTTTCAGGTGATTGTAGAGAGTGAGAAGGTCTGAGCAAGATCATGTGCAGCGAGACCTGTCCTTCTGATCTCTTTATCCCTAAGAATGGAGTGTCCTGGACTCTGCACTCTGGAAGGAGCTTGATTTTCACTTGAGATCAACCCCACAAAGCACAGAAGTGACAGCCTACAGGGGAGCGTGGCACCCAGGTGGAACAGTGGCAAGAAGCCCACACCTCCTGGCAGCCATTTGTGTCTTCTTAACACACAGAGCTTGGTTTTGAGGGAAAGAAGAAGGAATCAAATCCAAATATTAAAGCCTAATTTCTGCTCAGTCAGGCACAGGAAAACTGCTGTTATTCCACATATTATTTATGCCAAACAACCAGTAATTAAGGTCTTCATCAATCAGGCCAACTGTCACAAGGTCACCCTCACTATCAACTCTGCCAGTAGCATCTTTTCCAAGGTATTTTAGTCACCCTCAAGACACTCAGTGATGTCCCAAGACACACTTGCATCCAAGTTCAGTCGTGGATCTTGGTGTTCCCTGCTGGCTACAGCAACACTTCAGTATGCATTCTTTGCAGAAACTTCCAGACCAAACTGGAGGAGTACAGCTCTTCTGGATTGTGCAAGAGAGTAGTCATGTTCCCAGACCTATCTCGTTTGAACTGGCTTTTGCTCCTGGTGGGTGGATACTTGGCAAATCAGAGCATTTCCAACCCAGGAGCTGCTTTTCTGTCCTGCCTGCTTGTAGGGCATTGTGCACCTGACTCATCTGCCAGTTCTCCTTCAATTAGCAAGGGGCAAGGATGTGTATTTTAGTACTTTACTGTGTCTTTTTGTCAAGAACTGTCATCAGAAGAATGAATTATCCAGGGAAAAATGGATATTAGAGGGGTTGGCTCCCTCTCTCAGGGTCAGAATTACAGCAGGGAGGTGTCATTTAAGGCACAGAATTTTCCTTACCCCACTACAGCCATATCAGGAACTTGACTCTTACCTGTGGTACTTGGTGATACAACCAAGATTGGCTCCAACTCCTTTATTGATGGCCAAGATAATTTACCTGCTATGGATTGAAAGCACACACAGGTGGAATCACTGCAGTGTAGCTAAAGCCTTGCAGCTTTTATAGCTAAGTTTGAGATGAAAGTGCCCAAAATTACTCATAAGAACTTGCCTGCAAGGCAGAGGGAACTGGAAGAAGTATTTTTTGAGACAGAGTATCAACTGTTCAGCTGCCAAAGCACCTCTGGAGTAGGTTTTTCCATTTTAGCAATTGATTCAGAACAAGTTGGGTTTTGGGAGACACAAGCAAAGAGCCTCTTTGCTGCCTGTGTTTTACCTGCTTTTAAGGATCTGCTCAGGCCTTCACTGTTTCTTTCAGTGACCTCATCACAGGATGTGCTTGAAATTGCTTCAGATTCCCCAGGCATCACCTGTAGAATTAAATCTGAATTTTTTTAAAGTAAAACAGTTTGCCCTCTTCACCTGATTTAGCAAAATATGGAAAGCATCCTCTTGATCCAGAGAACCTGCCCTGCTCTACAGATGATGGTACATCTCTGGGCCAGCTGCTTTCCCTGAGGGCAAAGTAAGACTGGATGTCAGTGACTTCTCCCTTGCCCCTGCAGTCAGTGGAAATGCATGTGCCCAGATGTTGAGTTCCACGTGCTCCTAAGGTCAGGGTGCCCTGGATCTCCTGCTGAGTGATTTGCCATCAGATGGGTTTCCTTAGGACATCTCCTGTTGGAGGGACCAGCTTGTGTCACTGCCACTGAAAGCAGTGCAAAATTGACATGGATGTCACAGGTGTTGACTTTTGTGCTCTCCTAACTTCAATCTCTTTTGTTTAAGGCTCTGAAACAAAGAGAAGCCATCTTGAAGCTCATTTTGAAAAACGAAAATGTAAGTAGCCTTTTTCAACAGTTCATTTGCCATTTTCCTGAGTGCAAGCTCAAGGTGTTTTATAATTGACTGCCTTGGAGAAAGGGAGAGGTGACCTACCAGGGTATTTCTGATGATAGCTTAGGAATCTGTTGTGGTTTTAGGTGTGGTGTTAAATTAAAGCAGTGGTGTTGCCTGCTGGTTGGAGCAGGAGGCTCAGAGCAGCAGAGCCTTGGATCTGGTGGGGAATCACCACCTCTGAGGAAGAGGATTTTGTTCCTCTGTCTCCTTTTCCTTGTTATGTAGCACAGAAAATGGATTTATCTCTGAAGGTGAATCACATCTGGGAATCACTTGGAGCAGTGGAAGACATTTCAAGGCATGATGAAGCAGGGAGAAGAGATTCTGATTAATTTTTTAACTGTGCAGTCTGTTGGCTCAAGCCAAGAAAAGAGGACTGACATTGTTTGATAGTGTATTTTTTGCACTTTGGTCCCTCTTTCCTTTAGAGGAAAACTACTGTAGAGATTGCTGACTAGTGTTGTATGGTGTTTGTGGCACCATCCAAGGGGAGGGGAAGGAGTCTCTGTGAGCACATCTGGCAATGTCTGTCGGCAGGAGGTGGGGACCTATGTTACCAGAGGTCCCTGCCCCATTAAGTCTGCAGCACTAATTCTCGTCAAGTTAATGTTGCCAAGAGTCTCTTGATTGAGGTCTAGCCTAATAAATATCATTGGTTAGTAAAACCAACCTAATTCCAGAGGTGGCTGGAAGCAGCAAAGATTATACCTGGGCTTTTGCCTCCATCGCCATGGGATACTTTCTCTCTTAGAAGAACTCCTCCCATCATTTTGGCCATTTATTAAACTAGTTTGGCTTTCACTTTTTAAAAAGATGCTGCCCTGGCAGGTGTGCTGGGAGGGCCTCTGAATAAAGATGGGGTCTTGGCTGGAAAAAGGTCGCTCTGAGCCAGCACACCTAGTTGGACACCTTCTTTTGCCTCCAGATTCCCTATTCTGGGCCTGTATGAAGCAGGAGTAACTCAGTGAGCATGTCATGCAATACGTATTTGGGGGGCTCAAAGCCTAAGATAGTAATTTGCTTTTAGCTCAAATAAAGACTGAAAGAGATTATTTCAGAGCAGGTGTACTTACAGGTGACTGTTCCTTGTGCTTGTTCAGCAAAGTAACTGACTTTTTGTGCTCTGACCTCCTGGTTTTGGGCAGGTGGACAGGCATGTAGACCTCCTGGAGGTGGCTAAAGAGACCGATGGCTTCTCAGGCAGTGACCTGAAGGAGATGTGCAGGGATGCGGCGCTTCTCTGCGTCAGGGAGTATGTCAACTCTGCCTGTGAAGAAGAGAGGTACGTGACTGGATCCTCTGCTCCAGAGCCACTGGGAGTGCCTCTGCTGCTGCACCCTGCCCAGCTGCTAGTTTGTGCTTGCTCGCTGGGATTTCAGATTCATAGAGCTTTGAAAGAACCTTGCTGGGATGCACAGAAGGGAGCTTCTCTTTTTGCTGACAGATTGCCACTCTGCCACAAAAAACCCCAACAAATGAGTTGCTTCTGTTCATTTTGACTGTGAAAAGCCAACTTTGTTCCTTGAGGTGGCATGAACCAGCAGGAGGTGATGTTACTGTGGCACCAGGCTTAGGTGCTGGTAGCACTCCTGCACATAGAATCATAGAAACCCAGACTGCTTTGGGTTGGAAGTGACCTTAAAGATCATCTAGATCCACCTGCCCCTGCCATGGGGGACCTCCCACCAGACCAGGTTGCTCCAAGCCCCATCCTGCCTGGCATGGAACACTTCCAGGGATGGGGCAGCCACAATTTGCCTGGGAAACCTGTTCCAATGTCTCACCTCCCTCATAGTGAAGAATTTCCTCCTAATGTCCAGTCTAAATCTCTCCTCTTCCAGTTTTAATCCATTCCCCCTTGTCCTCTCCCTCCCTGCCCTGGTCTAAAGTCCCTCCCCAGCTTTCCTGGAGGCCCCTTGACTTGCTATGATGTTCCCTTCCACACTTACAGGGACAGGTTGCCAGTGTCATTTTGGATCTGTGTCAGAGCTGCTGTTCTCAATGATTACTTTTGGTTTCAGTAGCTGTTGGACACCCCCTGAATCATCTTGCTTTTTTCTCTTTTGAAGCCACGATGAAGATGAGATCCGGCCTGTGCAGCAGCAGGACCTCCACAGGGCGATAGAGAAGATGAGGAGGTCAAAGGATGCCCCACTGCAGAATGTTTTGATGCACGTTAGTTTAGATTAAGAGAAAAGAATGTGTTTGCAGTTTCTGATGGAATTTAATTTGACTTCTGTAATCAGCAAAACCAATGTTGGGGTGGGAGCCGGAATGTTCCTTGAATTAAGGGAGTTCTGTTTCTGGAATTGTTTTTATACAACAAATTCTAAGTTATTGATATATCCTCATGCCTCAACTTAGAAATGTCACAAATAGTTCATGAAGTAGAACAATTATAGCCCAGACCAAGAGCAACTGCCCGTGTCCTGTCCCAGAATGGAGCCACACTGTGTAGCCTTAAAGCAGGTTCTGAGGGGAGGGGGTGGGGAGGGTGATGCAGCCCCAGGGGGAGTCATCCCAGCGTGTGTTCAGTGTACATAGCCACACATTTTTTATATGCAAATATAATCTTTAGGTAACATAGAGTATGGGAAAATCTTTTCTACTTGGCTGAGTCAAACCCAATCAGATGTCTGGATTAAAGGCATCAGTTCACATTCACTTCTTCCTTTTAGCAGCAAGTGCAAAGATAGAAATTCTGCTTCCAGGGTAACTTTCAGGCAAAATTTGCAACGTTGCTGACTCTTTTTCTTTCACGTGACCACTTGAAGTCTGGTGCCATTTAGTGAAGATAGTAAACTACTGTAAAGATGTTGGAATACTTTTTCATTTTGTATGAATTCTGCTTTTTGAAGCTTTTGAAATTGAATGCTGTTTTTTCTTTTAATTTTTCCTTTGATGAGAGTAACTAGAGTAGAACCTCAACTGGCCTTTCATGAAGCCCCACCTGGCAGAAGCTCTGAAGCTGTGGCTCTCTGCTCTGGTCTGTGCTGCAAGGAGGACTTGCTGCTGCCTCACCCCCCTGGCAGAGCCCTCGCGCCAGCATGTGTCCTACCCAGAGCTCTGAGCCTGGGGGGGGAGGGTCTGGTGACATTTTGCTCTGTCACCTGCTCTGAGCTGCAAAACCCAAAAGAAAGGGATGGGTCTGAGGTTTCTAAGTGTGATTTTTGCAACATTCTGCTGTACTTGCTGGCAACACTTCTGGTCAGTTCCTGTAATGTTAAGTAGAGATAAAGGCAAAGGGTTAAAAATGTAAGTGGCAAAAGTGTTTTGGTGAAATTCTTGTCAGTAGGTTTTCAATAATTTGCTTTTTCTTCTTATAATACTCTGAATTGTGCACTCATTCATCAGAAATCTGTAATGGGGCTTGTTGAAACCCCCTGAGGGGAGGTTGTGGCCCAGCTGTGCTGAGCTCTCGAGGGAAGGTGGGTGTTGAAAGCCAAGTAAATGCTGTAAACCAAAATGCTCTGGGAGTGAAATAAAGAGCTGGAGCCAACCCTGCTGCAGTGTCCCCTGCTGATGGCCACTCCCTGCAGCACAGCTTTGTCACCCATGTCCCTCCTGTCAGTCACTGTGTAACAGTCCAGCTCCAGTAGGGTTTAGTGTCACCTGGTTTGATCTCCTTGTGTACCCAACATGGGTTGTTTTTTCTTTAATTACCACTTTGCTTTTTGGTATGGGGGAAAAAAAGTCTGCTAAATGTGACCCAATGATGCAGGAGGTTGGGCACACCAGAAACTGCTGGGCTAGAGAAATCTAAAAGTCTGGGATGTGGAATGCTGGCCCCACAAGTCATGCAGTGCTGGGAGAGCCCAACCTCAAGGACCAGCCTTAAATTCAAGGTGTAGATGGTGCTGCTTGCTGGAAGCCAGTTTCTCAGGAGGTTTGAATTTGTGTGCCAGAGGAAGCTCTGCAGCTCTTGGGTTTCTTCTCAGTGCCTGCTCAGACTCAGAGCTTCTCCTAGCCCCTCTTGATAGTTGTGACACCGAGGAGTGCCAGGCTGGTGGCTCATCCTGCACCTCCTTCCTGCTCGTAAAGATCTAGTGCTGAAGTCTTGGTTGGTTTTGATTGAGTGTGAAGTGTGTCCTCAAGTGAGCTTGAACATCACACTGATCACAGGGGAGGAGGAGCCCCTGACTCTTGGCAGGTGCTTGGTCCTCTAGTGACCAGCTGAGCTCTCATTTCCTTCTTGTGTTCCAGCCCTGGCTGGTGCCACACTGGCCAGGTCCTGCCTTTCCATCACTGCAGCCTCGGGGCTGAAGAGGCACAAAGGGTTCCTTGGAATTGTCCTCTAGGTCAGTTCCTGCAGCCAAGCTGTCATTCCCACTTTTCCAATGAACTTTCCATAGTTGTTCCTGCTGCTGCTTTGGGAGTCCTTGTGAAAGCACAGACCCTCAGAGTCACAGAGTGGTGAGGGCTGGAAGGGACCTCTGCAGATCATCCACCCAACCTCCCTGCCAGAGCAGGGTCACCTACAGCAGATCCCACAGGAACACATCCAGAGGGGCTGGGAATGTGTCCAGGGAAGGAGACTCCACAACTTCCCAGGGCAGCCTGTCCCAGGGCTGTCACTCTCACAGGAAAGAAGTTTTTCCTCTTGGCAGCTCGTGAGAAGATCTGGGGCAGTGGTTCCTCCTGCAGTGCAGGGAACACCTGCTCAAACCTGGCCTCATCTCCAGGTGGGGGCTGAGGCTGAGAAAGTCTCCAGTGCTGAGCTCTGAGCTGTACCACACAGTTCTGGGTGAGGAACAGGTCATTCTTGGTGTTTGAAGGTCAAATCCTCCCAGGAAGAGAGGTACAGACATTCCAAGCACTGATTTGCTTGGGACCTGCTCAGCCAGGGCCATCTCCAGTAGGTAATTCTGCCTGTGCTGGAGTTGTCCTCAGGCTGTAAAGCGACTCAGCTGCAGCACCTTTTGGTGGCCTGAATCACAGCATCACCAAGGCCGGAAAAGACCTTTATCATCCAGTCCAGCCTATGACCTGGCACTCCTACATCTCCAGATGCCACCTCCAGCCTTTCCTTGAGCACCTCCAGGGAAGGTACCTCCACCACGTCCCTGGGCAGCCCATCCCAATGTCTGATCACCCTTCCTCGAGGCTAAACAGCCTCAGCTCCCTTAGCCTCTCCCAGAAGAGGGGAATGAATGTGTTTGTTCACTCTGTTCTCCACAGCCTCCCACCCCATTGTGGCTGTGTTTGGGTCCTGCAAGTGCAGCTTTTCTTCTCTGGGCCTGGTGGGCCCAGAGCATCATTTCCCTGGTGGGTGCTGAGGAGCCCTGGGCAGCAGCTGAGGGGCTGGGGGGTGAGGTGCAGGGGGACACCCACAGTGTCCAGCCCTGCACAGGGCAGGCACAGGTCAGCAGCAAAGGGGGCACCAGCCCTGTGGGGCAGAAGCTGGTCAGGCTGGAAACTGTCCTTTTGTCTCTTCCCCAGGCAGGGATGTGTGGGCTGAGCATTTTGCAAGGCAAGAGACGGAGCTCTGCAGCACCAGCCCCTCCTTCTGTGGGGTTTAGGCAGCTAGAAGGTCCTTAAGTGCTGGTTTGCCCAGAGAGGGTGTGGCGGCTCCTTTTCTGGAGACATTCCAAAGCCATCTGGATGTGCTCCTGTGGGAGCTACTGTAGGTGACCCTGCTCCAGCAGAGGGTTGGACTGGATGATCCTCAGAGGTTCCTTCCAGCCCTCACCACTCTGGTCAAGCAGCACAGAAACGCAGGGCAGCAAACAGTGCAATTGCTGGGCTGGCTCAAGGTGACTTGTTGAAGGCTCCAGAGACCAACAAAAGGAAAACTCCCATCAGTTGAGGTTTCCAAAAGGCTCCAGGGTCAGCCTTGCTGTCCTGCCCCAGGCACCAAGCATGCCAGGCTGGACCCAGAGGGGCTGTCCCCACCACAGGCCTGTCACAGGGAGCCACATGGCTGTGACACCCCACCCCCCAAAAATTAAAAATACAAAGTGAGGATTAGTTACACATATAAATATTTATTTTTACTAAAAGTGAGTGTTTTTTCAGCGGAGTATCAAGTTCAGAATATATTAAATCATGAGATGCATCCGTTGAGGTACAAATTCCAGTCTCATGTCTTTAATAAATATGCTATAAAAAATCCCTAGTCCACATACTCTATTTTAATCAGAGGTAATCAGTACACTATTTTAGAAGGACAAAAGATTTCTGTTTTGCTGTAACCATTTGGATTAATGAAGAAGGGGTGGTTTTTTGTTGTTTGTTTGTTTTTCACCGTTGGATTAAGACAAGTGGCAACACCAACTATTTAGCTATTTAAAAACGACTAAGATTGCAAAATCAGAAGTAGGAGTTATTGCTTTTGTCTTCCAGGTCCCTACCAGAGGGCCTGAGGGGAAAGGCACTGGGGTTGCTGTGCTTCCAGCTCCTGACATGGCTGGTGCAGCATTTTGCTTGAGGTATAAATGCAGCTTCGGGCTCTTTGCTTGGAAAAAAATTACCAAAAAGCCCCACCCCAAAACAGCTGACAAATTAAAAAAATATCTATATATTTTGCAAAAATATTCCCAATTGTATCTGTAGTCTGGGAGCTTGTACCATGGCCACAGCTAAACAGGTGGTAGCTCGGGCTGGAGGTCACTGTCCTATGGCAGAGATTGTAGTGAGGGCAGATCCTGTTGTAATTAAAACTGAAGCACAAGAAGAGGAGAAGGTAATTTCCATGGCACTGGAAACACAGTCCCACCCATCCTGGGCCATCTACTGAAAAGGACGAGTACAAAAATAATGCAGGTTGTTGCAATAAGCAGAAAGTGCACAGCTGGCTTCCCTCCCAAAAAGCCCTCACACTGGGGAGGAGGTGTGCTCCTCATGGGGCTGCAGGCTCAGCCCTTTCCCTGGAAAAGCCTCTGCAGGACACCAGGAAGCCACCAGCACTGCAGGATGCTCAATCCTCAGCCATGGTCCCAGCCAAACATGCTTGAGGGGAGACACCGGGGCAGGTGGAGCTCCGAGGCTGGGTCACAGGCCAGAGGTGCCTGTCAGCAGAAAAGCCTCAGGCACAACAGCAAAGTCCATGATGGGGACAGAAATAAAACTAGGTCAGGTCTACAGGAACATTCCACCAGCCAGAGCTGTGAGCAGCACCAGACACTAGCTCTTGCTTCACCCCATCACCCCTTGCTCAGCAGCAGGGAGGGACCCAAGGACTTCTCTGCCACCCTCTGGCCATTCCCCCAGCCAGAGCCAGCCTCAGCATCCCTGATCAGCCAAGATCAGATCCCCCGTGCTCAGGTGGGGCTGTGGGGACAGATAAGGGCAAGTGCTTGAGCCACCTCTCTCCTGGTTTCCCACGTGCAGCAGCTGCTCAGACCCACCTCACACTGACACGTAGTTGCTGGGTTTGCCTTTGACTTGCCTTCTGGATGGGAGGAGCACAGGCAGAGGAAGGGGATCCTGTCCTGGGAGGACACCCACAAAAGCACAGAAACATCATCTCCAGTTTTTTCTTGCTGCCCTGAGCTTTCTTGGAGGTCTCCTGGGCTTTTCAGTGCCTCCCAGGACAGCTGACCTCAGAGCACCAGGAACGCTCAGCCCAGGTTTTGTTTTGCCTGGAGAGGTCAAGCAGGAGGAAGCAGGAAGAACAGTGAGCAATTGTCTCAGGCCCAGAGAACTGGCAACGGTCAAGGCTGACTTAAAAAAAAATCATTTTTTTAAAAAGGGTGTTAAAATAACCCTGCTGTTTGTTAGGAAACAAATGTCTGAGGCAGAAGCTGGAGGGCAGGGAGTGGATCACAGCACCGACTGCCTGTGTCCCTCTCCCAGCCTGGCAGCAGCTCCTCACCTCAGCAGCTGGGCGAGGGGCAGAGGAAGGACACGTCTTCATTTCTGCTCCATCAAGGGACAGACAGGTTTTGATCCTGGTGCTGAGGTCCCAGTGTGGCCCTGGTGGCATGAACATGATCCTCCTAGTTCAACCAGAGGCTGGGCTGGGAATGAAGGACCTGCTGCCCTCCCCTTCCAGCTCCGTGGGGACGTTCCAGCAGCTCCAGGGGGAGAAGGACCAGGCTCAAAGTATTTCTGATTAGTACAAACCACTCTGACCCAGGCAGGAAAACCCTCCAGTCAGAGCACTGGAAATGCCAAGAAACTGATCTGTGTCATAGGGAACCAAGCAATCATTGCTCACTCTTAACACAAGTATTTCTAGGAGGAGGAGGGCTCTTAATTCTTTTTCTCCAGCGACTGGTAGTACTCAGTGAGGACTTTCCAAGCTTTGGGGGCCATGAAGCCATCTGGTGGGTTTTCACCCTCCCGAGCAAGCTTCCTCATGCGTGTCCCCGAGATGAAGTCGAAGTCGTTGTGCCTGCACAAAGCAGAGAGAGGCTGGGATCAGCACACCTGGCCCCAGTACAGCTCTTCTGCTGGGCTTGGGAACGGCCCAGCACTTGTCTGCAGCTTCACACCCAGGTTCATGGCCTGCAGCAATGGGGTTCCCCTTTCCAGAAGTGCTGGAGTTGCATGTAACACACTTCTCCAGCTGTGACAGGCTGTCTTTCTACCACCACTTAGCCTCCAAACTGTTCTTTATCCTCTCTGGTGGCTACAAAGGCTCCTCTTAAGTTCCATGGGGCCCATCCTTGACCTGGTGTTAGCTCTTGGCGGGAAGGCAGGTGGCCTTCACAGGTTCTTCCCTCATTCCCCTCCATCAGAGAACCAGCTGCCTGTCGCTCTCCCTTTACTCTGCCCTGATGAGGCCACTTCTGGAATATTGCATCCAGTTCTGGGCTCCCCAGGTCATGAAGGACAAGGAGCTACTGGAGAGAGCCCAGGGCAGGGCCAGAAAGATGCTGAGGGGACTGGAGCATCTGCCCTGTGAGGAAAGGCTGGGAGAGTTGGGGCTGTTCAGCCTGGAGGAGACTGAGGGGGGATCTCATCAACATTATCAATATCTACAGGGGGTGTCAGGAGGATGGGACCAGTCTCTTTTCTGCAGTGCCCAGTGGCAGGACAAGGGGCAATGGGCACAAGCTGGAGCATGGGAGGTTCAAGTTAAACATGAGGAAAAACGTATTTAGTGTGAGGGTGACAGAGCCCTGGGACAGGCTGCCCAGAGAGGCTGTGGAGGCTCCTTCTCTGGACACATTGCAGACCCATCGGGATGTGTTCCTGTGGGACAACCTTTGAGCCAGGTGTGATCCCCAGCCCCAGGTGCTGTGTGGGCTGCAGGAGCAGCCCCGGGCCCCGCCTCACCTGTTCGGGTCATAGAAATCCATGGCCTTCTTCACCTTGTTGTAGGCAGCCACCCGGAAGGGGATGATTTCCACCGAGGTCAGCCCGGGTGCCATGCTGAGCACCTTCCCTCCCTGGGTGGGCTCATACAGGTCCTTCTTGGTCTCGGGGTGAGGCATCCCCGCCGGGTCACGGCCCACGATGTAGGAAGGAAGGAAGGAAGGAAGGAAGGAAGGAAGGAAGGAAGGAAGGAAGGAAGGAAGGAAGGAAGGAAGGAAGGAAGGAAGGAAGGAAGGAAGGAAGGAAGGAAGGAAGGAAGGAAGGAAGGAAGGAAGGAAGGAAGGAAGGAAGGAAGGAAGGAAGGAAGGAAGGAAGGAAGGAAGGAAGGAAGGAAGGAAGGAAGGAAGGAAGGAAGGAAGGAAGGAAGGAAGGAAGGAAGGAAAGTGTCAGCACTGCTTGGACCTGCTGCAACCTCACAACGGTGTGCATTTCCAGGGAAGCACTGGGGACAGGAACTGGTCTTGTCCCAGTTTGACAGGAAAGGGAGGTGGTACTTTGCTTTTTTGAATGTGCCCACCAGCCCCTGAGGCCTACATGGGCAAAGGCTGCCCAACCATCCCTCTCCTTCCTCTTTCTGGGAAGGTTCAGTGTCTATGGTTTTCATCCCACCCATTTTGGGACAGGAGGGGAACCACTGGGAGAAAACAAAGGAGCAACCCTGCCTGGCAGAGGGAGAGGCCACAGTGGTGAAGTCTGTTTCTAGTGCCCTTCTCCCCAGCTCCTCTTCTCACACAGCTGGTGAAAGCACAGGAGTCCATGGAGCTGGACTCCAACCAAAACCCTATTGAGTCCACCTATAACCTGGCTCTACCAACCATTAAAGCCACTCTGCTCAGTCCAGTGTTTAAACAATGTCCCTCAGACCAACATCTATACATCCTTTAACACCTCCAGGGATGGAGATTCAACCACCTCCCTGGGCAGCATGTGCCAGTGTTCAACTACCCTTTCAGTGAAGAACTTTCTTCTAATATCCCACCTAAACCTCCCCTGGTGCAATTTGAGCCCATTTCCTCTTGTTCGGTTGCTTGTTACTCAGGAGAAGACACCCCCAGACAGGAAGACACCACCATGGCAGGAACTAGCAATGAGGCCATGGCTACCAACTCCCTTCCCATGGCCTCCTGGAGCTGCATGGGCAGGCTCACACCTTGCCCTGGTGGGCTCTCCTACCTCTGTGGGGCCGGCGTAGAGCATGGGCGAGGGGAAGATGGCCACGACGGTCGACTTGGGGTCCAGGACCTGCTCCTCCAGCACTGCCGTGTGCTGCTTCATCCTCCACTCCAGGGGGACGTCATCATCTTTGGTCCATCCCCCCAGGGGGTGCAGGAGAAGCACAGGGTTCTTGTAGCCCCTCTCCAGGAGCTGGCGCCGCGTGTCCTGCATCAGCAGCGCGTGCCCGTTGTGGACGGGGTTGCGCAGCTGAAACGCGAAGACGGCATCTGCAAGGGGAAGGGCCAGAGGGGTCAGGGGGCTGAGCATCCGACCCTGCAGCTTCATCTGCACCTTCCACACAGCCCTAAGATGTGCACGTTGTAAGGTGTGTATCCTGTCTCCACGGGAGCAGGGCCTGAAATTCCTGAGCTGGGTGTTTCAGATGGGTACAGCTCCTCCCTCTTCATGGCTCTGCGGAGGTTGTTTCCATGGCCCAACCTTCCTCTGGGGCTGCTTTCAGTCCCACCAGCTCTCCTGTCATGTCTTTAGGAAGCACTGGACACACCCATGGAGTTCCCTAACTTCTTAAGTGACCTGCCACCTTGTCAAGCTTGATGGAGCCTTCAGGAAGGCCAAGGCTCTCTCCTCAAAGTGTGTGAGGTCTGCCAGCCAGCTGGGACACACACCTGGGAGATGATACCTGACCCCATGTGTGTGCTTTTGTGAAGGCCAAACGTGTCAGCACAGGGCTTTAAATGTCCAGAGTGTGGAAAGACAGGCTGTGACCCACCAGGGAGGACATGAGCAGGACACTTGAGTGCTTTCCAGGCCATGCTCAGGAAAGCCCATAGAGGGGACAGCCCATCACCTTGACCAAGGAGTCCCCATGCCACTTTTTGTGTGTCCCTCTTACTGCTCACCCCACCCAGAGGCCCATTTTGGGAGCACACAGAAGCAATCTGGAAAGTGAGCTTGAGAGCCAAG